ATACTTTAGAAGAGCTTGAGTTTCGACATGTTTGCTTCTAAGGGATTAAATCAGAATCTGAGGGTATTATGGACTTTTAGCATCAGTTACTGTTGCTTTTGTGTCGGAGAAATTACGTGTCCGTTCCATGTGCTTCTAAACCACGTATTCTTTATTCCATCAGCCAGAGAAATATGCACACTTTCAACTTTTCAGTTCTCTTCATCTTCTTTGTTCCTTTTCATCTTTTCAGTAGGTGTTGTAATTTCAGGTCATATGTATGTTCTTTTAATTTTTTGCCCCATATCATCTTCTCCTATTTTCTTGATCTTCTTTCCTGACAGTATCTTTATTGAACTCAACAATATTATAAAACCAGACAAATAGAATAATTCAGTTGTGTCTTAATACTGTTTCAATTATTGTTGTTTCATTTTAAGAATCTTAACAACCTTGAACTGGTTGAGCAGATGGAAGAATGTTCACAACTTTAGTAAATCTATGGTTCCCTAAGGATGTTAAGTAATCAAGAGGTCTCATGCAGAAGTATAAACTAATAAAGGGCAAACAACAAGAACAATGAGCAGCTTTATCAATCAAGTTAAGTCCATTACACACGGAGAAGGGAGAAAGATTAAGCAAAAAGAAGTTAGCACAGTCACCAATCACTGAAAGTAAGAGATATGCTAGAAAGAGAATTCAGCCCCAAACATAAATAATATTTCTGTGATAATCAGATGCTAAGCAAGAAGCATGTTGATTTTTACATCACGTTAAGTTTGTGCAAGGAATCAAATTGAGTAATGTGGTGAACATCATCTTCAGAGAAATTAAATGATGTTTTCTCACTCGCATTCCTTTTTGATAACCTTCTCACTTGCATTCCTTGGCATGTACCTAGGGGTGTCAATGGATATTTGAAAACCGACTAAACGCACCGAACCGTACCGTACCGAACCGATTTTTAGGTTTCTTTTAAAGAAACCGTATGTTTTTATATAAATCTATAACCGTACCGATAATTAGGGTAGATTTTTTATTTTATAAAAGTACCGAATCGTACCGAATAAATTTTATATGTAAAAAAATTTATTTATATAGCAAGTCTAAAACGAATAAACATTAAATTTTTTGTTGGGTCTTGGAATTATGAAAATTGTTGCAAGCCAACAAGTAATTAAACTCAAAATACTAATTCCTAAAATCTATTATGCCACTTATACTTAAACTAAGTTATTTCAAGTATCTTTATTAGCAAGACACAAAGTGTTCTAGCGATTATGGGTAGAAAACTACATTGAATTGAATATGTTTTCTTTCATACAATTTTGATTTATCTTTTTGCATATTTAATATAAACTTTATTCTTGAGTCCCGGCTTGGTTAATATCTTTCCACTCGTGTGATTTATATTTTCTTTGCTTTTACTTGGTTTCTTTTACGTTGCTGTCGAATAGTTGATGGATCTATACTCTAGCCATCTTTCATGTTTTTTTAATTCATCACCCTTTAAACAGTAAAAATGTCTAGAAAGTTTTGGTAAGTCCTGTAAAAGAACATATGTTATTGCATTCTACTTCTACTAGTGAGTTTTACACATGATATTTTAAAAAAATACCGAAAATTAACCGAACCGTACCGATACCAAAGTGAAACCGACATAATTGGGACGGTTTCGAAAAGTCTAATTTTGGTTATACATAATAGAATAACCGAGAAATTGGTATGGTACAAATTTTATAAAATAACCGTCCGAACCGAATCATTAACACCCCCTACATGTACCTATCTTCTGAGATGTCAGTTTTAGTGTTCTCAATTAGGTGCTACAAAAGAAAAAAAAAAAAAGAAGTACAACGTAGTGCTTTTAGATAAGCAGATGATGGCACATCAAATGTGGGATTCGTTGCTCTTTATATGTCCAACCTGCACGATTCTTGTTATTGCATCGACTCATATTCCCCAAAAAGTGGATCCCACTCTAATAGCTTCGAATAAATTAAATACGTGCATTAAGATACGAAGGCTTCTTCTTTCACAACAACGAAAGCACTTTTTCACTCTTTCATATACTAGGGGATTTCACTTGGAAAAGAAAATGTTCCATACTAAGGATTCGGGTCCATAACCATGGGTTCCAATGCACGAGATCTTGTAGCACTTACCAATGAGGTCCTATCGATTAGTATTACACAGAAGAAATCAATTATAGACACTAATACAATTAGATCCGCTCTTCATAGACAAACTTGGGATTTGCGATCCCAGGTAAGATCGGTTCAGGATCATGGGATCCTTTTCTATCATATAGGAAGGGTTGTAGCACAAAATGTACTTTTAAGTAATTGCCCCATAGATCCTATATCTATCTATACGAAGAAGAAATGGAGAATGAATACCGACACGATCAAATCTTTGTTTCTCGAATGAAATTAGTGCATAGGAAATATACAAACAAGAAAGTTAAAATAAAGCAAAAGTGGCGTCTACTAGCACATCAGTGCCAATATGAAACTGGAACAGAACTAATCTTAGTAACTCAATCACCAAACAAACAGAGATTCAGTAATGAACTCTAACTCAGAAGACCTCAAATAAACATAAAAAAGGAACAGAAAAAAAAAAGAGGGAAAGAACATGCGGAGGAGAAACCAGTAAATGTGCCAATTCAAATGTGTTGTAGACTGTTGCAGCAATCAGTAATAATAGGAAAATGCTCAGCTAAAACTCAGGTTAACAGAAAAGGAATCATGGATGAAAGAAGCTAGAGCCAAGATATTGAACGACTAAAATTATATGGCAAACAAGAGCCATAACAGTCCAAATCTCCATTTAATATTTATCTGGCATCGACAATAGTGAAAAATTCAATAGACCTTCATTCATCATACTTCACATTATAGAAGTTACCTGACTTACCTCTATTTCATGATCATATTGGTAATATAAAATTTTGATCAAATGTTATTCTTAATAATGGCAGCATAAACTACATCATATGTAGAATACCTCCAACAATAGAAGTTACACCAATAGGAAACTATTCTAAATAATTAATGATGAGGTAAGCAACAATAAATTAGTGGATTTAAAGTTAATCTTTATCTTGCAATCGGCTAGATTTTTAGTTTAAACTTTATATGTAAATTCAAGAAAGTAATTTAGAGGGAGCTCAAAGCATAATCAATTCAACAACCAACATGATTAGAATATATGAGTAGGTCATTTGCAGAAGGTTAGTCTTCAATCACAAGTTTCACCATGTTTTTCCTTAATTCAAGTCAACTTAATTGTCTATCTTTAAAATGCAGCTGTTGATTGCCTAGATTTAATGGCTGTGTTTGACTTCTTTATCAGCATATAACAGAAATGCCTAAATTAGTTGGGATGGAGAAGGGCTATAGTAAGGGCTAATGTGTTTTCTTCATGGTTGATGATATTGAAGCATATGTTTACAGGTCTGCATAAGATTATTAAAGATATACCTGAAGATAAGGTGTCGTTTCTGATCGTATCAGGATCTTAGTGTTGTTTTATTATTGCTACATGGGGAGACTTACGAAGGCAAAATCTCTAAATGGTTCTGGCATAGATGGATATATATGTCTAGCAAAAAGATAATAGAGAACCCACACAATGCCATCATGAATAAGCTCAGGCAATTCTACTGTTCATGAAAAATATGATATGCCTATCGAGGATTATTCTTGTTGTTGCTTGAGACTACTTTTCTCACCTTAGCATTCAGCCTTGATTGTCGAACGCCTATGTGAATAGAATTACATGATTCTGAAATTTGGCTAAATTTTTTATGAGGATCTGGAGATGCTGATGTAGTTCCTTTAATTTTTGCTCTCATGTTAGCACATTGTGAAGTGACACAAACATGTGTGATAATATATTTTTGTACCTTTTTATAAATAAAATAATGTATGTTTGTCAAAACAAACAATAAGGTTCTTTAGGAAGAAGTGAAAAAGAATATCAGGAGAAAAATATGCAGAATCAATTGATGTATCTATTAGTTGGTTGGGCAAGGATATTTTTCAACCTTAAATTCTTATTTTGCTATCATTAAATCAGGTAGGTTGTGTTTTATTTTGCTTCGTATCTGTTGCTCCGCTTATATCACCAGATATTTACGTATCAAACAAATCTAGTAAGAGAAAAAAGTGTAAATTTATTTTGGTAATAAATGTGAACATTACCATAACAACCAAAACAATTTACATCCTAAAGAGCCTCTAGTGTCCTTTGTCACCTTCTAGGAAGGGTGCTCCAGACTCTATATCTCCAAACAAAGCACAACTTCTAATTACATCAATGTATTCAGACTATCTAAAATCTCTTTTCTAATCTGAGCAAACACAAAATCTCTATCTACATTTACTTTTCTAAAGATTCTCCATTTTCTTGCTTGCCAATTGTAGTATAGCATGGCACCCTATACTGCAGCAACTATTTTCTTTTGGAATTGGCTCCATCGTCTCCTTTTGATCCACTTGATCACCAGGCTTGCTTCATTGTTATGAATCTTGATGCCCAGCCAGTTGCTCAACTTTTCTCTCAGGTATGAAATTCACTTGCACTGACCAAAGATATGTGCATGTGTCTCCATTTTTGCCTTATCACATAAACAATGTGAGCACCTAATTTTTGCCCCACACTGCAAAAATATTCAAAATAGTTTTAATTACTTTTGTATAATTTGAGGAATTTTTATTTTTATTTGTTTGGCATTCATTCACACTTTTAGCGTAGCATTTCAAATCACGAAAATGATCAAAAATATTTTCTCTTTTGTTTATTGCATTCTTAGGTTTTTACTTGCATTATTAACATTTAGTTTGCATTATTTAAAATACAAAATACTTTAGTTTGTTTTACATTTTAGGTTCAAATTAATTAGAGTTGGTCAATCCACAAATTAATTAGTTGTTAGATAATTCATGTAATAATAGGTTAATTGTGCAATTCAAGTTCTCAATATTATACTATCAGTTAATTAGTGGCTAAAATGGAAAAAGAAACGAGAAAGGAGAAGGTTTAATTGAGCTCAAATTTTTTTGGCTCTCTCATTCTCTCTTCTAAAACCAGAATCGGACCCCCAATGACGAACCCTAGCAGCCTTCTTCCTCGAACAAGAAACAGGGACGGCGTCAGACCCCTTTCCCTTTGAAAAAGAACCAGCCGCCATTTCTAACGTCAAAATTCGAGTAAGCTGTACAATTGCAGTCAACTAAGCACGATTTCTCGCATTCTTCAAAGTTTTGAAATAAAATAGTTGCTAAAAAATAGGATAGAAAAGGGATTTCGGCAATTGTTTGAATCCACTGCTGCTCGCTTCTATTTTCTGGGTTCCTAAGCATTATTTTGGTCTAAAGTGCTGCTGATCTTGCTGTGACCTGTTGCTGAGCTCCAAATCGTAGCTGTTTTCATCCTTCTTGACTGTTTTTTATCTAAGCTCAACTTGGTAAGATCTACACCTCCCTGTATTGCTTTCACTATATGATTCAGATCTGTTAAGTCTTTTGTCTAATTTTGTGCATCTGCCTAAATTTCAATTTCTGCCATCCTATGTGTGCAATAAATGTGTTGTTGCGTATCATTTTGAAAATGACTGAAATGGTGAAGTAATTCGAAACACGGCTGTTTGTGATAATGTAGCTCCTGCATTTCTTTGGAAATTCATCACATGTTATATGACCAAATCAGTTCCGCTTACATATATTATAGTTTGAATGAAGTAAGTATGATGAGGTTTAGTGAAATTAGCACTGTGTGAAAGATCTATTTGAAGCATATGTGTACAGATGTTCAATCATAGTTTTGATTCGTTTGAATGTTAAAAGCAGTTCTTTGAGCAGTAAACTTTGCGATAAAGTAGACTGAAATTTGGAGCAAAAGGCTTAGGGAGCAGACATAGAGTTAGAGTTCATTTAGCTGCTTATTGAAATTTGAGGCGGTGAACTTGAATCTTGATTTTGCAATTAAAGAGCTGTAATTTGTACTGTGTTTGAAAATTTTGATTTATCCTAAAGATTGGAACAATATTCCCAACGTGACATGCCCAGATCTTGCTTCTATCTTAATCAAGTTGAAATTGAAAAGGTTTCATGTTTCCTTTGCATGTGCTTATGTGGTGGGCAGTAGGGTGCAGCAGAAAGCTGCACGATTGCTTGCTGATGTGCTCTTTCGTTGTGATTTAATTTGAACATCATCTGGTGTTGCCTTGTTTGCCATGTCTGAAAGAACCATTTTCTCTGGAATTTACACAACTAGGAGAAGATCTTTCTTTATAATAATCCTTTAGCTTCTACCTTCCTAAATGAAGTTGCTAACAGCTGAATGTTTACAGTAAATTATTTGCACTATATTCAGTGTTCTATTAGGAGTTATCCAGAGTAGTAACCCCCTTCCCCTCCTAAGTCTAAAATGGTCTGGCCAATAGATTTCCTAGTATTAGAGCCTCCCCAATTAACTCTATTCTTAGGAAAATGAACAATCTTTGATATTCCTAGTATGCCTTAGGCGTGCTTTTAATATATTATCGTGATTGTGTACACGTTCGCGTTACATGATTATGATTTTCACAAATAAATCAAGGTACGCGTTCGCGCGACTTTGACCAATAATCTCAAACCTTAGGAAATTAATCTAATAACTCATGATCATCGTGGAAATGCTTTAGGCGCGCATTTAATTTACTATCGTGATTGTGTATATGTTCGCGTGACATGATTACGTTTCCCAAAAAAATAAAATAAAATCAAAGTACACGTTCACGCGACTTTGGGTGAAACAATCTTAATAATGAATTAAAGGGATTCAACATTTGAAGAAGTAAACGTTGGAAGTTTTCGGTGCATTCTTCTTCTAATCCACTTTATTTTTATTGGACAGAGAATCAAGACTTTCCCTGAATTAATGTTTCGTTCAAAGCTTGGGGAGATTAATGCTCAGTTAAGAAAGGAAGGGGGGCTGAGAAGTATCTTATCCTCTTCTCTTTTATGGTCCAACCATTTCGGTCTTGGAGGTGTTGTTGATAGTTCGAGTCTTTTTCTGTGGATATGGTATACTGACAAAATTAACATGGATAAGATTGAATCTAGAGTGGCCGATCTCGTAAAGCAGCATGATTCGATGTAAGTTCATGGAAATTCTGATTTTGAGTTATACATTTATTTGTTTTTACTGGTAATGTAATGACATTAAAAAATGTTCATCACAGGTACAAGGATTTCCTAAGGAAAGGAAACATAGCTGAATGTGAAGCTGTAAAAGCAGCACTTCTATCTTATCCAAAGATTTCTGTTAAACTGGTAATATTCTTCCTCCTTGCGTTTTGTGTTCTGCTTCTAGCTGACCATTCATGTTAAGAATTTCACTAATGCTCCCTCCATCCCAATTTATAAGATGATGTATGACTGGACACAAAGTTTAAGAATGAAAAAAAAACTTTTGAAACTTGTGGTCTGAAACAAGACATAAAAATTTCTGCGTCTATAAATCATCACATTAAGGGTATATAATGAAAAGTTTAAAGTTAAATTGTTACTAATTATAGAAATGTATCATTTTTTTTGGGACAGACCAAAAATGAAAGAGTGTCACATAATGTGGGACAAAGAGAGTACCATTTTTATTTGTTTGTAAATTTTGCATACATTGATTTGCTTGTGATGTCCTCTTTCTTTAGATATGAAAAGGGGGAACGTGAATTGTCAGCCCTCAAGATTAATTTATAATCTATTTCGATACTATCTTAAAAGCAAACCTTTTAAATTAGGTAACATAATTATAAAATCGTGAAATTTGAAAGTAATCTGCTGGAGAAACTTGAAAGTACTACCCGTACCAAAATCAACTCCATTAAGAATACCGATCTCAGAACAATACTCCCATACTTCTTGATTTATGGTTATTTATTTAATGAAATGTTAAGAGAAAAGATTTGGGCATATTGGCAGCCCATCTAGCCTTGGAAAACTTTTGGGAGATTTGCAGTCCTACCCTATTTTTATTCCACCTTTTAATTTATACCCTGTTTTTAAAAACTATTTATTTCGTAACCAACTAACAAAAATTCCGTAATAATATGACCATTATACCCCTTCCAAAACATATAAAAGTCTGTCTCTCCTCCGTATTCCCAGATTCAAATTCTAGATCTCCTCCATATCTCCGGAGATCGCGTCTCGCATTCAAATTCCATATTCAAATTCAACTTCCAAATTCAAATACAAATTCAAATACATTGTAAGTATTTTTTGAATTATATGTTTTCTGATTTGTTTGAGCAACTTCACTGATATGCTGAATTTCTGTTTGACGATGAATTCTAACATTCTAAGCTGAAGTTATTTAGTTAACGAGCTGGCAAATAACACAACGAAGAAGAAATTATATTAAAACATTATATGATTATTGTAAATCTTCGGCATAGTTGCTTAAGTTTTTTAGTTATTACTTAAAAACTTCAGCAGGCAAAGCTGAAGTTTGCTCCTACACTGGCTAAATTAAAATTTCATATTGCATGAAAAAACTTCGGCCTAGGTGCTGAAGCTTTTTAGTTATTGTTTAAAAACTTCAGCAGGAAGAGCTGAAGTTTTTTAGTTAATATTTAAGACTTAAGCAAGAAAAAACTAATTAACATAAACATAACAATAGAAAAAACGCGAATAAAACGCACAAAAAACTAGCGACAAAAACATAACATTTCATTAAATATTAAAATCATAAATTAACATGAATAACAAAATAGCAAAACTAACAAAAAGAAAAACTAATTGTCCATATTATCATCATCGTTGTCGTTGTCGTCGTCGTCGTCGTCGTTCTCACTACCAGATGGCCGAGCATCTTCATCAGCAAGATTACCAAATCTTGCATACATCAGAAGCGTATCGAGCTTGTGGTTGATTTCTTCGAGCTCCCTGTCATATTTGTCTATCACCTCATCCAGTTTTAATTCAAATGCCTCCATAATGTCTTGCTTCAGCTCTTCTACTATTTGCCTTATGACAACATCCATTTTTCTTCTTTTTGTATTTTATGTATACTAGAATATATTTGTTTGAGTGAATAAACTCTCAAAGTATAGCGTGCTTTTATAGGGGAAAAAATTGTGCATGGTATATGAAAAGGCAAAGAGGAATTTTAAACGTTGTCTAAAGAAAAGCGTGTATGAATGTGATAGGAATGTAATTATTAGACTAACACATAACCTCAACGGAATATAATTACTACTTTAATTGTCTTTATTATGTTCACTCCTGTGTACTATGCAATTAATGCTGAAACGTGCTCAAGTTTGTTGAATTCCAACTGGATGAATTGCCCTGTCCACATGCAATTGCTGCTATTAATAAGAGATATTTGCAAAAATCTGATTACCGCTCAAATTGGTATTCAAGGGAAACATGGTTGAAAACATATGAAGGACATGTGAATACCGTGGGAGATTAAAAATCATGGGAAATACCACAAAATGTACAATCTGAGATCACAAAACCTCCCGATGTAGATATTTTACAAGGAAGAAGACAAAAGAAGGGGCATATACCTGCGACTGAATCATCAGTACCATTCAAGTCTACCAAATGCAGTCTATGTAAACAAGTTGGGCATAACAGAACAACTTGCTTGTCTTCTCCAGCACTTCATCCATATTCTAAGAAACACGCTGAAAAATACTCCAAGCTTCAATAATCCTTGGTCTGAATTTAGACTTTCTTTATTATATGACATAATTGAAATGCGATTTTTTTCATAGGAATAAAAAAAATAAGGTCTTGGACAATTTTATATACTGCTAAAGTACAAATCACTCATTTTTGTTGCGCAGGCTTGCAGGTTTGGTTGCATATTAAAAAAGTACGCAATGACTTCTACGAGAAAAAACTTCAGGTTACAGTACGTGAAATACATATCCTTAAACAAACACACACACATACAAACACTCTCACACATATGCGTATAGCACACAAAAAGAAACGCATGTACAAACAAAAGTTGTAGCATCTCTAAGAAACTAAGAAGTATAAAGCAAATATCAACAAAAGAGGGTGACAATTACATTGATATAAAAAGAGGTCAGAACAACACACATATTACAAACAAAACTTCAGCTCTCTGGGCTGAAGTTATACAAAATTAACCTAAAAAACTTCAGCTCTATGGGCTGAAGTAAACAAAAATCATACCATTGGAACATAAAAAAAGGATTACAAACACTAACAATCATCACCATCATCATCATCATCACAGTACTCCTCAATTTTCTAAATATCTCATCATCATCACTATCGGAGATAACTATAGGGTAGTCGGGCAAAAGACTACTGAATCCAAGAAGATCAATCTTCATCTTGTTGAAGTGTGAGTGGTACAATAACAAACCGATGGCTAATCTTATGCTTTTGTGGGATGAAATAAAGGCTGATTGGGAGAGAATTAGACCAAAGCTCTGTGCCAATCAATCATATCAGAATAGGCTTAACATGGAACGTAGTTGTGGAGATAATTCAACCTCGTTCGACAAGGTTGTGCAGCAGTTTGATAGTTTTCAGTTTCCCAGCTGGAACGACTATTCCAACCTGCAAAACAAACTGAAGACTCTTCTTCCTCTTATGGATAGAGTAATCGTCGAACAAAGTCAACTGCGTGATGAATTCAACAAGTTGAAGATTGATCTTCTTGGATTCAGTGGTCTTTTGCCCGACTACCCTATAGTTATCTCCGATAGTGATGATGATGAGATATTTAGAAAAATTGAGGAGTACTGTGATGATGATGGTGATGATTGTTAGTGTTTGTAATCCTTTTTTTATGTTCCAATGGTATATTTTTGTTTACTTCAGCCCATAGAGCTGAAGTTTTTTAGGTTAATTTTGTATAACTTCAGCCCAGAGAGCTGAAGTTTTGTTTGTAATATGTGTGTTGTTCTGACCTCTTTTTATATCAATGTAATTGTCACCCTCTTTTGTTGATATTTGCTTTATACTTCTTAGTTTCTTAGAGATGCTACAACTTTTGTTTGTACATGCGTTTCTTTTTGTGTGCTATACGCATATGTGTGAGAGTGTTTGTATGTGTGTGTTTGTTTAAGGATATGTATTTCACGTACTGTAACCTGAAGTTTTTTCTCGTAGAAGTCATTGCGTACTTTTTTAATATGCAACCAAGCCTGCGCAACAAAAATGAGTGATTTGTACTTTAGCAGTATATAAAATTGTCCAAGACCTTATTTTTTTTATTCCTATGAAAAAAATCGCATTTCAATTATGTCATATAATAAAGAAAGTCTAAATTCAGACCAAGTCAACTGCGTGATGAATTCAACAAGTTGAAGATTGATCTTCTTGGATTCAGTGGTCTTTTGCCCGACTACCCTATAGTTATCTCCGATAGTGATGATGATGAGATATTTAGAAAAATTGAGGAGTACTGTGATGATGATGGTGATGATTGTTAGTGTTTGTAATCCTTTTTTTATGTTCCAATGGTATGATTTTTGTTTACTTCAGCCCATAGAGCTTAAGTTTTTTAGGTTAATTTTGTATAACTTCAGCCCAGAGAGCTGAAGTTTTGTTTGTAATATGTGTGTTGTTCTGATCTCTTTTTATATCAATGTAATTGTCACCCTCTTTTGTTGATATTTGCTTTATACTTCTTAGTTTCTTAGAGATGCTACAACTTTTGTTTGTACATGCGTTTCTTTTTGTGTGCTATACGCATATGTGTGAGAGTGTTTGTATGTGTGTGTGTTTGTTTAAGGATATGTATTTCACGTATTGTAACCTGAAGTTTTTTCTCGTAGAAGTCATTGCGTACTTTTTTAATATGCAACCAAACCTGCAAGACTGCGCAACAAAAATGAGTGATTTGTACTTTAGCAGTATATAAAATTGTCCAAGACCTTATTTTTTTTATTCCTATGAAAAAAATCGCATTTCAATTATGTCATATAATAAAGAAAGTCTAAATTCAGACCAAGGATTATTGAAGCTTGGAGTATTTTTCAGTGTGTTTCTTAGAATATGGATGAAGTGCTGGAGAAGACAAGCAAGTTGTTCTGTTATGCCCAACTTGTTTACATCGACTGCATTTGGTAGACTTGAATGGTACTGATGATTCAGTCGCAGGTATATGCCTCTTCTTTTGTCTTCTTCCTTGTAAAATCTCTACATCGGGAGGTTTTGTGATCTCAGATTGTACATTTTGTGGTATTTCCCATGATTTTTGATCTCCCACGGTATTCACATGTCCTTCATATAATTTCAACCATGTTTCCCTTGAATACCAATTTGAGCAGTAATTAGATTTCTGCAAATATCTCTTATTAATAGCAGCAATTGCATGTGGACAGGGCAATTCATCCAGTTGGAATTCCAGGCAGTCACAAGTTCTCTTCTTTAAGTCCACAATGAATTCGATTCCTTCACTATTTATTCTAAACAACATTGAGTCAAGGTTGAACACCTAACAAGGAATAAAAAATTAAGACAAGCTATATTAGTGTATTTTTGCTTCAAAAAGAAAAAGTATGAAATTTTTTAAATGTAAGCAGTAAATCAGTGCAACAGATATAAAAAGCTGAAGTTAATAAATATACTCACAAACATTTTGCAAGCCAAGTCCATCTTCTTAGTCATCTCTTCTTCTGCCCATATTGATACTCTGTGAAAAGTTTCATTTGCCTTTTTTCTCCGTTCGTAAAACCACTCTCCCAACTTTTCTTGGATGAAATCTAACATTCTTAAAATAGGCATTTCTCTCCCTTTTAGTAAAATGGAATTCATTGATTCTACCATGTTTGTTGTTAGCATATCATAACGTCGCCGTGGGAACCACGATCGAGCCCATCTCTCGGGAGGCTCTTCCATTATGTAATTGTATGTTTTCTTGTCAATACTTTTGAGTTGGGACATTAACTGATTAAAATCTTCACGTTTGTATGACCTTGCAGCACTTTGAAAAAGATTTATTACCGTGGCTTTTGCATGTCTTTGCTTTAAATTTTTCTCAAAGTGATAGAGGCAGATACCATGGTGAGCTTCAGGAAAAACTTTTCTAATCCCATTTGCGATCGATTGGTTTCTATCTGACAAGAAAACCAGTTCACGACGGACTTGAATTGCTTTTCTCATTTCCCCGAAGAACCAAATGTATGCCTCATTGTTTTCTGATTCTGCTACACCAAAACATAGAGGAAAGATTTGATTGTTTGCATCCTTTGATACAGCAACAAATAGAACACCACGATATTTGGACTTTAAAAACGTTGCATCTAATGCAATAACAGGTCTACAGTATGACCAACCAGCTACTGATGCCGCAGGAATAAAGAACATGTAAGCAAATATGTACAGTGAAACACAAAAAAAACAAATCAAAAGGTGTGAATTTTTTCGAATAGGAACATTTGAAACTTCAGGCTGATGGTTAGTATTGTTTTGCTTACCTATTTTGAGCATCTTTTTTTACGTTTGTGTACGTTCCTGGGTTTTTGGCCATCATCATGTGTAGGTATGAAGGAAGAATCTGGTAGTTCTCTTCAGGTGTTCCCCTTATGCAAGCAACAACTTTTTGAATAGCACGCCATGCCTTGTGATAACCAATGTCAATTCCAATATTTTTTTTCATTTCATTTTCTACAAAGGCTGGTGTAACCTCTATCTTTTTGTCTCGAACATGTTCTATAATTTGTTCACTTATAAAATTTGATGTAGCATGCTTCTGATCTGATTTTCTTGCATCAACCGAGCATTCATAGATGTTATGATGTTTTATCACCCTGAATAGTGTGGAATGTTTTATTCTGGTAGCACGTACATTCCAACCACATTTGTCCACGATGCATTTCAGCTCGTATCTCTTGGAACATGATCTAATAGCAGTGAATTCAACTTTCTGGTTTAGCTCCAAGCTGCAGAAAAATTTAGTCATGTTTTGTTTGTTCTCAAAGATTGATCCGACTCTCACTTCCTCAGGCAACGTATCGTGCCTTAGTATTTTACATGGTGGAGATTCTTTCAGCTGTCTCCTCATTCTTTTTCTTGATTTCTGAGAAGCACAAGAAGTTTCAGCAATTTCTTCAATTCTATCTGATGGTATCGGTATAAGCTCCATGTTTACTTCATCTTCGTTGTTGCTTATCATTGCAGAAGGTAACAAAAAGCTTTGTTGGATTATGTGTTGGTTGTCAATTTGTTATTAGCTGTCCTTCTTCTTCTTGCTCATCGACAAACTGGTATGAATTTATTGGAGGGGGTAATTGTGGAAGCACTATATATTCTGAAGCAGCTGTAATGTTAGAAGGTTGTTGCCCGTTGTCTACTTCCATTATTGGATGCCGTACTTCATGTTGATAGTCAGCCTCAGGTTCTGAATCTATCTCATATGCAAGACATTGGTTGAGTGCTGCAGATTCTGAAGGTTGTATTTTTTCGATGACGAAATGGCAATTCTTGTAGGCTGAATCAGTTGTAAGCAAATGTATACACGTACTGAGTTCTTCATCTGAAGTTACAAGCATTCCTTTGCTTGTATTTAGTTTGATATCAAACCATACTTTTAGTACATATCTGGTTGAATCAATATTTGCAACTTCACTAATTTTCTTCAGGAAACTATTGAATGATATGTCCTTATTAAGTAGAACAAGTTTTGTATCATGATCCAAGTATTTGAAATCAGGAGTTCAACTCCCATTGAAAGTTATAACAACGCAAATCGGATTCATCCTGTAGACTGTAGTTTTGGTTAAAAAGTCATAACAAAAGTGTCAAATGTAGGACAAAAACTTCAGCTCATCACTAAATACACTAAATAAACAAAAGCTTTACGACAAATACTATCGAGTCCAGGACAAAACTTACAGCTTATCAAGTGCTAGAAGTTTTAGTAATGAACTAAATAACTTCAGGACATTGAGATGAAGTTATTTGAAAAAGATTTAGGACAAAAACTATCGAGTGCGGGAGAAAAACTTCAGCTTATCAAGTGCTGAAGTTTTTAGAAATGAACTAAATAACTTCAGCACATTGAGCTGAAGTTATTTGAAAAAGCTTTAAGGACAAAACTATCGAGTACAGGAGAAAAACTTCAGCTTATAAAGTGCTGCAGTTTTAGAAGTTATTTGAAAAATCTTTTGGACAAAACCTATCGAGTGCAGGGGAAAAACTTCAGCTTATCAAGAGCTGAAGTTTTTAGAAATGAACTAAATAACTTCAGCACATTGAGCTGAAGTTATTTGAAAATGAATTCAACAAACTTGAGCACGTTTCAGCATTAATTGCATAGTACACAGGAGTGAACATAATAAAGACAATTAAAGTAGTAATTATATTCCGTTGGGGTTATGTGTTAGTCTAATAATTACATTCCTATCACATTCATGCACGCTTTTCTTTAGACAACGTTTAAAATTCCTCTTTGCCTTTTCATATACCATGCACAATTTTTTTCCCCTATAAAAGCACGCTATACTTTGAGAGTTTATTCACTCAAACAAATATATTCTAGCATACATAAAATACAAAAAGAAGAAAAATGGATGTTGTCATCAGGCAAATAGTAGAAGAGCTGAAGCAAGACATTATGGAGGCATTTGAATTAAAACTGGATGAGGTGATAGACAAATATGACAGGGAGCTCGAAGAAATCAACCACAAGCTCGATACGCTTCTGATGTATGCAAGATTTGATAATCTTGCTGATGAAGATGGTCGTCCATCTGGTAGTGAGAACGACGACGACGACAACGACGACGATGATGATAATATGGACGATTAGTTTTTCTTTTTGTTATTTTTGTTATTTTGTTCTTCATGTTAATTATATTTTAAGTTTTTATTGTTAGTTTTTGTGCGTTTATTTGCGTTTTTTCTATTGTTATGTTTATGTTAATTAGTTTTTTCTTGCTTAAGTCTTAAATATTAACTAAAAAACTTCAGCTCTTCCTGCTGAAGTTTTTAAACAATAACTAAAAAACTTTAGCACCTAGGCCGAAGTTTTTTCATTCAATATGAAATTTTAATTTAGCCAGTATAGGAGCAAAACTTCAGCTCCGCCTGCTGAAGTTTTTAAGTAATAACTAAAAAACTTAAGCAACTATGCCAAAGTTTTCAATTATTAACAAAAAAACTTCAGCAACTATGCCGAAGATTTACAATAATCATATAATGTTTTAATATAATTTCTTCTTCGTTGTGTTATTTGCCAGCTCGTTAACTAAATAACTTCAGCTTAGAATGTTAGAATTCATCGTCAAACAGAAATTCAGCATATCAGTGAAGTTGCTCAAACAAATCAGAAAACATATAATTCAAAAAATACTTACATTGTATTTGAATTTGAATTTGAATATGGAATTTGAATGCGAGACGCGATCTCCGGAGAGACGGACTGATGGAGGAGATACGGAGGAGATCTGGAATTTGAATCTGGGAATACGGAGGAGAGACAGACTTTTATATGTTTTGGAAGGGGTATAATGGTCATATTATTACGGAATTTTTGTTAGTTGGTTACGAAATCAATAGTTTTTAAAAACAGGGTATAGGTTAAAAGGTGGCATAAAAATAGGGTACGGCTGCAAATCTCCCAACTTTGTAATGAAGCTTTATCAGAAGGCTAATATATCAATAATTCGGTAAACATTACCTTTCAACGACA